CGGAACCGCTGTAAGCTGTTGCTGCTTGCGGGGTTGAATACTGAAGACGATGTGAACGAGCGTACGGCGTTCAAGCCGTGACTTCTCGTGGCATCCGGCTTCTGGTGATGGACGCAAACGATCTGGCCACGCGCGTCGAGGCCGACGTTGAAGTTGTGACGAGTCTCCAGGCGGTCTTGTTTAAGAAGGCGTCGGGACTGTACGACGAGATTGCCTGGCTGGTTCTGCTCCAGGCTCAGCTCCCCGAAGAGAAGCATGTGGCGTTGTGTTCGTTCGTGTCGGCTGTATGAGGCGACGTCACATCCTCTCACCTATAACACCGCAGTCGATCCCTTGCTGTGGTCACGCTTCAACAATGATCCACGTCCGATGGCGTGTGACCGAAGTGACATTACATAAATTCTAAATAATGTAAGTCACATTATTTTACAATTTATGAAGATTTATAGAAAATTCTACACTATAACAGATAAAGACGAGGATGGAGCGCACCGGGTTGAAGGGTCTTGTAAGATCCATACAATGGCTACTATGCAAATTTATACCAACGAGAAGCAAACTCAGGCAATGCACTCACAGACAGTTCTAGCGTTAGATTAGTGTGCTAACGGCTTGCGTTGGTCCTAACACGATAAACTTGTAGGTGTCAATAAAAGCTGGTAAACTTTACAAGCAGCTCCCGAGCCATTTGCTGTATGAGAGATTCAACTCTAGCTGCCTCAATTTTTTTACTAGTTGCACCTCAAACTGTTCTAGAGTATTAAGCAAGAAAAGAAAAAAGGCAAAGTAAAGAAGGCCAAAAACAAAGCATCCAGCCCACAAACACGGAAAGTCTGCGTCGCTACGTACATTCGGAGACTCTGACTCAGAGTGATGGTCATTGCTGGTTCTCCAACCAAAAGAAAATTACCGGAAAGCTCTTCGTCTGAATAGTAAAATACTTCTTTTTTTTACCATGAACGAAAACTTCAACAATCCAGCATTACGTGAAGCTGTCAATGGCATCCCAGGCTGCACCGAGCTGGTCCGTAAGGCGATACGGGGTGGTTGCATGCAATGCCAAGGAGACGCGTGCAGTTAGCCAAGATATCGCCATATTACGCGCTTTTTAAGGTTGGTCGTTGTTTTGTTGAATTGACTGTGCCGAGTTAATGGTAAACGGATGATCCATTATTACAACCCGCGATAGAACTTCACCTAGACAGGAATAAATAGTCGTCTTTCGACGCTATGACTACCGAAGGGTTTGATTGATAATTACAATCGAAATACCGTCCGCTACGTATTTATGACTAGCGCTGTATATGAATGATTAAGTTCGCTCACGGATTGCTATTGGATTTGGGAGGTGATCTGAAAATAGAAAGCTCAATCAAATTCAAGCTTAGATCGAACTTAACTAAATATAATAGGTTATATCCTAAGATTTGAAGTTTCCAATTGCTTTTATTTGTATACAAAAAATAAGACTGTGTCAGTGCGAACTTAATAAAAATTGATGGTAGGATTCAGGCTTCAGTCGTAAAGATGCCACGTGCATCCAAAGTACCCTGCGTCTACTCGCCCTTGTGCAGGGATTTATTTTCGTCGAAGTTCAATAGAGATCGCCACTGCAATCGAGCTCACCAAGGGCCATCTAGGCTGTGGTGCCCAAAGTGCACATCGCTGAAGTTCTTCTCGTCCAAGCGATCTCTGGAGAAGCACGACCTATGGATGCACAAAAGCGACGGATTGTGTCCGTACTGCGCAAAGCAGTACAGCGGTACCTACCTGCCAAAGCACATGCTGAAGTGTACACAAAGACCACCTGTGGTTAGTGATGTGACAGCTGGGGACGGTGTGGAGTTTGTGTCGGAGCAGTCTCAACCACTTTATCGCCCGAAGCCCACCAGCCAGACCCGGTCGAGTCACAACGCTCCAACAGCGCTAGCAGCGGAGACCCGGCTGGAACAATTCTGGGAGTGGTTGAAAAGTCCGTCCGCAGCAGGAAAATCATTTTTTCTGTCCAACCCTAAGGCGTACTTTGACAA